CCGTGCCAAGCCTGCAAATCGGTTTGTGCCTTGCCAGTTAACAAAAAAAAGAAAACACCTGCGTTGACTCTGCCTCTTTCCACATAAGTACAGCCGCATTAACACAGCGAAGCGGTGTGTAAGGGATCCTCCTAATTTTACAGAGCGGCGGGCAGGCTAAACAACAGCGTACTATTACCCTCCCGGTACACGGGAGCGACCCGATAGCCCGGGCACGCGGCTCGCGACTGGGCGCAGGAGAGCGGCAGGGGGCTTTAAAAAACACGACCTGAGCGCTCATCCTTTGCGGGGGGGGGGGGGGGGGGCCGTAAAGAGAGAAACACCGTGGCGTGTAAGCGAGCCGCGGGTCCTGCCTCTAATTAAATGTAGGGGAGTTAATAAAACAATGCGGCGCACAACAGTCCCTGACGCTAATTAAATGTAAGGACGTATACAAAAAAAAGGCCATCAGAGAAGTGAGATTGGACAGGGCAGGTAAATCGATAGTGGACCTGGGACCCGGCACGGACAGATGGATGGGGGGGGGGCACGCGCGAGGCGGGCGGGCGGGCGAGCAAGCGTGGAGCGGTAAGACGAGCGCGGGGGCCGCCATGCATAAATTATCGGCCAGCCCGGCCAAGCGTTGCGTCTCCTGCGGTGATCGGGTTGCTGTTGAGCTTGGCTGCTGATTGTGAAGACGGAGGGGGCAGGGGGGGGGCAGGGGGGGGGACGGCGCAGAGGTTGGTGCAGGAGGGTTGGCCAGGTTTTGTTCTAAGCGGATATACAACCTGCTCTGATATTTTGTTTTCAATAAGAATATTTGCGATTATTTTGTTCATTTAGCCATTAAAGCATCAACTGGGTCTCAAAAGCGTTTTCCAGGGGGTTGCTGCTCAATTGGGATACTTGGGCAATCGCTTTATTATTGAGCCTTTGTTTGGGGGGGGGGGCTTCGTGTTTGTGGACGCTGGAGCACCTCGATAAAACCCACGAGGCATGCGAGGGTTGACACTCAGCCCTGCCATCTCCTGTCCACACCTCGCAAGCCCCTGGTGGCCACCCATTCCACGCTAGCCAGGCTCAACCCGCTTAGCTTCTGAGATCCGACGCAATTGGATGCATTTCTGGTAATTGTATCGCAGTGAAGGAGAGGTCAGTGGGCAGGGATGGCCTCTTATTGGGTATATTAACATTTTTACCCGGTGTACGAAAATCAAATAAACGATGTAATTAATTGTCATAATTGTGGGAGCCTGACGAAATTTACTTGCAGGTATGTAACGGAGGAAGAAAAAGACCCACGCGGGACATGTTGGATATGTCGGCGAAGAAAACTGTCAACCCTGACTTGTATCTACGATGCTCCCTCCACTCGGATATGGATCCCTATCGATTCACGGACGTCAAAACAAGAAAGTGAAAGACAGATGACCGATTAAGGGGCGGGGGGCGGGCGGGGGGGCGTCCCCTGTGGTTTATCTGTGGGCGTAAATCAAGGAGTTGCAGTAAACAAGCGGGTTGTCTTACAGAGGCACGGGGAGGGAGGGGGGGGGGCACGTGAGGGTGGGGGTGCTCGGCGGGGCCCGTTTATCCGTCGCCGCATGGAAAGTGACCCGTTTAGTGATGCCCCGTGAGACACGCAAGGAGAATCCAGTTTCACTCGAACGCTGGGCGGAGGAGTGGGAGGTGTGGCGGTGGGTGGGTGGTGGGGGGGGGATATACGGGCAGGACTGGTCAGACAATCAAGTTGGGGTGTGGGACATAAGAGCGGAGGAGAGGTAAGAGGAGTTTGGCGGCGGGGTGGGGGGGGGTGCATTCGTGTAGGTAGTCTGGGAGGGTGGGAGGGTGGGGGCCGTGGTGGCTGTGAGTGGAGGACAGGACAGGCAGTCCATCCGGACACCCGATGCCATGCTGTCTTGTGTAGCCAATGATCAGCTCCCCTTACAGTTAACTGTAATTTAAAAGTGGCGTACAATCCAAACAAGCCGGTGTAGTGGCCACGGTGGGGTCATCCCCGGCGTGAAACCCGAGCGGCGCCGCGGATCCTCCTCCGGGCACGCCTCGACGCTCGTTAGCGGGCGCGGCGATATCCACCGCGCGGACACACCGATGGGCGGGCGTATACTACGCCCTGGTGCCCACCCAGGTGCCCACGCATGCCAGGGCGACGCAAGGTAGTACGAAGGGGCCCCCCCCCCCCGTCCCCGTGTGTCCTCGTTTACCAGGAGGAGGGGGGGCTGTGATCGGCAGGCACGTGACGGATGCATCGATTCGTCGAGTATGGAATTTATTCTCAGGCTCGCGACGCTAGCGTTGTTTGCAGCGTTTAGGCTCGATGCAAACTTATAGGCTAGCGTTTCATGAAGGCCAATGGTGCGAATGAGATTGTATGAATGATTAAAAAAGAGATGTATATTGTTGGTGAGGATCGTGACCCCGAGTTAAGACAAATCGTCAGATCGCTGGGAGGTGGGGGTTGCACAGTGCTCGGCCATATTCGCGATTGTGTTACTCATTAAGTACAGATGCCACTGCTGCATTGCCAGCCCCGGCGTAATTTGATCCAACGACGAAGTCTGATATTTCCTTTTCTTTCATCACAGCGGTGCTGCGTGCTCATTTTTCTTGTAATTAAAATGTCTTCCTGGCCCATGCTGCAAACAAAGAGATGTTGCAAACGTGGATGTTGCCTAATGCCTTGAGCGGCGAATTCATGTGTTGAAGGGAAGGCAGTTTATGGCAACATTTAGTTGTTAGATATCACTTTTTTCGACAGATTTGTCTTTTTTTCCTGCTTCAGTTTTGCGCACGAATGATTCTGCCCAAAAATGGGATTTTTAACAATTTTTGCGGGCAGCTCGCAAAGGTCCCGTCGCCCTAAGTACCATCAGGTTTTTTGCGAATCGTGGCTCGGATAAACCGCGGCATAAAGCGTCCTCTAACAAAGAGACATCCAACCACGGAGTGCTGCCAAATGCACTGAGAGAGAGAGAGAGAAAGCGAGACACTAGCAGCAAAGCCAGAAAAGTGCCACTTCCATTTCCACTCCGTCAGACGCTTCACTTTTCCCTCGTCTCGTGTTCGGCCCAAACGAGAAAAACAGCCAACGCCGAGCTCGGCCGGGCTGGGCCGGGCCAGGCCTGTGTCGGCTGCCAGCTTCCTGCCACCGGCGCAAGTGAGGCGCACGTGGTCTCGCCCTCCCCACGGCGGAACGATGCGCAGATAAAAGGAAAAAAAAAAGGGGGGAATAAAAGGGGGATCGGGTGTGTCGGTGTGAAAGTTTAAACCGGCGCGTGCGGAGCCTGCCTGCCGACTGTCACGCCGACACAATGCGGCCGCCGGTAACCTTGCACTTTGCAACGCGGCGCGTCAGCCAAACACCGTGCCCGGCCCGTCGACGTCGCCCGTCTGGAAGGGGAGGGGAAACCCGGGACGGAGCAAATTGCACAATGGCACGCTGACAGGCTTTGATTAACGCGGTGCGGCAGTCGTGGGCCGGTCGTGTGCCCGCCCGCCCGCCCGCCCTGCGACGGATCGGGCCTTTGTACGCGATTAGTCGCGTTCATTGCGGCCGCGCGCGGGGCGAGGCCAAGGTGTCCGTCAAACGAGGTGTTGGGTGTCGGGGGCCCTTTTCGGCGGCGGGGCCTTTCCTCTGCCATGCCGGGGGCCTCGGTGCTCGCTCGTGAGAGGAGGACCTGCTTCCATATATACCGCGGTCGCCGTGGTGGCAAGACGGTATTTGTGGCCGCTGTGGTGACAGCCCAAATTTAACGACTGGTGAACGGATAAACTTCGGGAAAGTGTTTTGCGTTCAAAAGTTTGGATGCTGTATTGTGACTTTCCTGAGCCGTTATGCGTTTGGTCCCAGTATTCGATGAAAATGAATTTGATGGTAGTGGAATTTGGTTCGTTGGCATTCTCGTCAAAATTACTCCAATATTTGTAGGTATTTTCTTAAACGAGATTATTTTTAAAAAATCAGCTCCTTTAAAAAATGTATTATCACACTTTAAGAAGACTATGCATGATTATTTTCTTTCAGTGCAATGCCAAACATTTTACTTTTCTGCAAGGCAGACTTAGTATCAATGAGTAATTTATGTAATTATGCAAAGTAAGAGTTACTCGCTTTATTTACAAAAGGTAATGTTTCTGAAGAATCACTGGTCCATCAGTAATCTGTCCTAAAACACTCCGAAATATAAGTTTGGACATCAGCTTGGACCAAAACAGAAATACCTCAGGTTTTATCAATGTTTGTCGCTTTATCCAGCAACTTAATGTAAATACTTTTAAATGATTACCTTCATGCGGAACTTTTGTGCAGTTTCATTTTCAAAAGTGTTGCTCATTCCTTCTAAAGAGTCAGAAGTGCCGGAGTATATTCATCGCCAACTTTGGTTCGCGAGATGCATCTACATTTTGCTCCGATACATGACCACTGGTTCGGTGTTTATTGACGCCCATCGGATCGGTCGAGAGATGACAGTTATTATGACTGGGTTCTCTAACTCTGACCTTTTCCTACATCCCCAGTGAGATGCTTTAAGGCACCCGGATGGGTGTTTTAAGGGCCCAAGGACTGATGGAACGGCCTTGTTAAAATGTTTGTCTCTAGGAAGGTACTTAAGCTCTCCCATACTCAGTCCACGACATGCATTTTAAGATGCATTTTTAATAAACGTGTGTCTACTCCCCCCTCTCCCGCTCAGCGATTTGAGGAATTCTCCCCATTTAGGATCGTCATTCATTTCAATAATTTTTTTTATGTGGCCTTGTCTCTGTATTTACCGTCCCGTTTCTATTACGTCTCATTTTTGTCTGTCCCGGTTGTACAGTTTTAATTGCGCTATTAGCAAAAAACACAAAAGAGGCATGTCACGCGTGTAATTTTCATGAACGCTTGTATCGTGAGCGTAAGAATCGATCACAGTCGATGAATGGGTGAATCATTACAAGGCTGATGTTTGTCATCACGATGCTGACAATGTGTCCGATGCTTTGCTGTTTGTTTTCGGCAGAGCCAATCACCTCCCGAGCGGGAAGATCATGGCAATAAAGGTGGGTAAAGCGTACACCGGAGAGATTCCCTCCAACGTACGTCCGTGTTCAGACTTAAATATAGTTTTATACACGCATAGTTTAAATGGCATCATTAGACATTTCTCCACCTCCTGTATGAATAATCAGAATAAATAATATCCTGCCCTTTGTCACTTTCCCTACTGGATGAAGGCCTCCCTACGCCTTTGGGAAGTGGGGGTTTTAAATCGCTTTAAACCACGTTGGTCATCGCGGGCGGGTGACGGGGTTGACTTGGAAGCGGTAGTTTAGCGCGTTAGCACGCTGCGCTACGAACCCGGCGACCCGAGTTCGATTGCTGCTCACGGCCAACACCGGTGACGAATATCAGAAGCGGTCCTGGACCTCCCCTAGGTCGACTCAATTGAATACCTGGTTCGGTGTGTAAACATCATCGCTGGGGAGACAAAGGTGACCAGGCGTGGTTTTGACCACCCATCCCTTCGTGTGCCGTGCTCGCTAACAGCACTTGTCCCAACAATCTGTTGAAGACTCTATGAGAGTGGCAGCCACGACTCTGAATCGAACCCAGATCACTGGATTCACAGTGCCTTGCACAAACCACTGCGCCATCACTCCACCCGGTTAATTAACTTAAAACTGTACTATTGCACACTTTCCCAGATTTATATTATGTGGATAGCATTATGTTTGAATGCATTATGGTCCTGCTTTATCGTTGGGAGGATGTCGTTTCTTTATTTTAATCTGTGCTTTTTAACAACGTGATTACGGCCACCGCAATATTTACATTTTAATTCCACAATTAATTTATTGCAGTGTAATTAAAATTAGGATTAGAGCGCAACGGCTATTAATGCAATTAGACCTGCCGGGCATGGCGACGCACACCAGTAATCCAGCGCTCTGGAAATGGGATTGGTGGATCGTGCAGGGATCAACGGCTCGTTTCATATGCCGACGAATGTCTACGGTGTTCCTTCGTTATTTCACGAACTTGCTATATCAATCATTTTGGCTGTCCACGGATCGCATCTGGAACTCTATGCGACTGCATCGAGAGAGAGAGAAAAGAGCGTGATGAGATAAAGTGATGAGAGAGAATGTGATTCTACTGTGCAGCATCGTCATCATAATTTACGGTATGTGCATTTATAAGCTATGATTTAATACTTTAATATTTATTCGTATTTACTTCACGTTTATTACAATAATTTTTTTGTGTTGTGATCACTTCTGTATATTTGAAAGCCCCCTCAAATTTATTTAAGGTAATTCCTTACAAAGATAGGCTTTTTTCGTAGGCCAATATCATTGTCCGCGAAATGTGCGTTTTGTTCACAGGCGTCACCGGAACGTTATCACTCGCGAATAACGAGGGAATGGCGTATTTATGTCGAAACGTTTCTTTGGTGAAAGCGTGGTGATGTGCTTTGCGGTGAAAGCCTCGTGGTGTTGTCCATCGCTCACGGTCACGGCGAGAGGTCCCTTTGAGATCCAGGACACGGCGAATGGGGCAGAGTGTCCACCGCTCCTCGTTACTCATTCGTAATAATAATTATCGTGATGAATGCTAATTCTTCATTTTCCAATAAATCTTCAAATGTATGTATGTATGCTGAACTTCTTTAAAATAATACACATTCTAAATGTTAAACTCTACCAATAATGAAAACATAATTTCTGGAATCATTATTAAATTCTTTGAATTATTAAAATAAGTTGGTATGTATGACATTCAAATGCAATAGAATATAAGCGAGAGAGATATTCGGCATAATTTCCGGGGAAACAGACGAGATGACGTGCTGTCACCAGAGTTATTCAGAAGACGTTTGCCCAAAATTGTATTGAAGAAACATTTTTTATAGATAGTTGCAGGGACAAAATGTGATTCATCTGCCGATTATTATTTTACCGTCGGTATGCTTTTTTAGCCATGAAATCATCACCGAGTCTCAAGACTCTCTTTAGGAGGGTCCTGCCATTTTCTTTCCAGGAGGTCGGTCAATGATTGCAACACACATACAAAAGTTGTGCATGATTATTCAACAAATTTGGACATTGTGCCAGCACACATTGGCCTACGCTTGCGAATGATGTCACAGGATTCCCCCACGTCCGCTGCGAAGCGGACGGCGTGTACGTTTAGTCAATACACCGGCAGTAAACAATAACCAAGGTGGCCCGCTGGATCTGAACCGTGAACTTCTGCAATGAGCGACGAAAGCGATGCCGCGTCACTGCTAGCCCTTCAGTGCCGCTGCAGGATGAAGGCTTCCCCACGCACCGCGTTGGTCTCGTGGGGCGTTTGACCGTACTTCGCCGTGGCTCGGGACCCCGATTTGGACATCGCCCCGCCAGGTTCATAGTGCAGCGCCACTTAGCCACTGCGCTGCCGCCGCTGCCGCCGCCGCCGCTGCCTTCTCCTGCTGCAGTCATGAAGTCCACCGTTAATATTTTATGTTGATGCGATGGAGAGCATTCTCCGTTACCCGTTAAACGTGCCGAGGAATGAAGTCATGTTCATTGCCGGTTGTGAGCGTCGTCTGTAATTTGCGCGTTCCTCGTCGCCTGCAAGACGCTTTGAAAGGTTGGCCATATATCAAGGACATGCAAGTGCTTTAGATAACCCATTTACAAGCAACCTCCAGTGCCAAAAGCCAGATGGTGGGATAATGTCAGAGCGGACCTTGAAAGTCGAGTGTCAGCTTTACAACAACTTTGGGCTCTAGCATAGGCGATGTTGACCTCATGACCTTGATCTTGGCCCTAAGTATGGTTAAAGGCTCTATGGGGGGGATCTTTTTCTCTGGGTGTACGTGGGTGTGTTGGCTACACGGGATGTTTGACTTTGTTTGTATGTGAGTGTGTGTGTGCGTAGTGGTTAGCATGTTGCACTACCAACCTGGCGATAAGAGTTCGATTCCTGCTCATGGCCAGCATCAGGGACGATTATCTGAACTGGTTTTAGGCCCTCTCCTAGGGCGTCTCAGCCTGACAACGGTACCTGGTGTGGTGTGTAAACATTGCCCCATGGGAGACAAAGGTGGCTGGGCATGGTGCTGGCCACCCACACTTGTGTGTGCCGTACCGGACTTCATAGGTGTTCGCAAACAGCACTTGCCCCAACAGCCTGTTAAAGGCTATATGGGAAGTCTTTGTCTTTGTGCACAAGTGTGTTTGTGTTTATGTGCACGCGCACACATGCACATGTGTATCCAATGCTTGTAATTGTTTCTATACACAGTATTCCAAGGTTGTTAATTCAGTTTTAATTAAATTGGGGAAAAGCCATCTTCATTGATCAGCTTACCTTATTGATAACCACCTGGGCCCCATACAGCCTTAGTTAGGGCTGCCATATCCTGTCAGTTTTATAATTAGAGCACTTTGGAAAGGCTGTAAAATATACTGCTTAAGAGACATTGTCTCGTGCGTGTTTTTTTATTGTTCTGCTCGTTTCAAAATAGCGATTATGAGTTTGTCGTACCTTGCGCGTTCCGTGTGGGACGGGTAGACGTTTCAGAATTTGACATTGAGCATCTGCAAGGACCACTGTCGACTTACTACCCAGTCCTCGTGTTGCTTTGGCTATCGCTTGTCTGTGTAAATGTGTGTGCGTGTGTCTTTGGGGAGTGGTAGCGCAGCAGCTAGCACGCAGCGCTATGAACCCGGCGACCCCGGGTTCGATTCCCGCTCACAGCCAACACCAGTGACGATCATCTGAACCGGTCCTGGGCCTCCCCTAGGTCGACTCAGCCTGAAATAAGTACCTGGTGCGGTGCGTAAACATCGCCACTGTGGAGACAGAGGTGGCTAGGAGTTGTGCTGGCCACCCGCCCCCTCGTGTGCTGCGCCGTCCTTTATAGGTGCTACTCCTTAACAGCACTTGCCCCAACAGTCTGTTAAGGCTATACAAGGAGATCTTTGCATTTTCCTTTGTGGTTGTGTGGGGCGTGGATGTGTGTGTGTGATGGCCCATTGGGGGCCCTAGGGAGAAATGAATTTCCCTCCCCTCATCCCCTGGCCCTTTTGATTTATAAACTCCTAGTGAGAGAATAGCGACACAGTTGAGTCGCATGAAAGAGATTTAGAAAACAAAGATGGAGCGACAATTTCTAAGAGAGTGATTAATTAATGTTAATTAGGTTTTTATCTTTATTGTGACGAGCGAGATCAGCACTTGTCCCGAGTACCTGGTACAGTGGGTAAACGTCAGCAGTGGCGAGACGAAGGCAACCGTGCGTGGTGCTAGCGACACCACCCCCTCGTGTGATATGCCAGCCTTAATCGGTGCTCGCCATAACAGCGGTATGCCCCAACACTCTACGTAGGCTGTACGGGCGATCTTTGCCATAGCACTCTCGGCCCTCACCTGTACTTGTCTCCCGCTCTGCGTTTTGCACTCGCATTCACGCGCACAATGGTTTAGAATAAAACCTCACGGTGAAAAACCCTCGGAATCACCACTGCCCACCCTCGTAAGACTCCCGCACCACTTCTCAGCGTGCGAAATTGCGCGGGCGGGTGCACGCAGCTCAGCTTTGCCAAGCCGTACGCTCGGGCCCTCCTGCGAGCTTCTAGGAAAGCGAGTGACCCCGGAGTGGAAGGGAGGGAGGCGTGCGGTTGGAGCGGGCCGGCGGTGTGTGGGCGCGTGGCGGCTGCGGCGGCGGTGGCTTGGCAGTGATAAATGACTTCGCCGGAGCTCCTTACTCTCGCGGTGGTTTTAACTGGAGTGTGAAGAGTAGAGGCAGGAGGGCTTTGGGGGGGGGGGTGGCGGGCGACGGCGCGCTTGGTGGGCACGCGGCGCGTGGCGGTGGTGGCGCGTGGCGGTGGTGCCGCCGCACCGCGCTCGGCCCGGCGCCCTTGTTTAACGCCTTCGGGAGTAACGGCGGGAACACGCCGCTTTTGGTTGTGGCGCGTGAGCGCAATCGCCCGCTGGTTTTTTATCCGGCGCCCCGTGCCTGAATTTGAATTCTGCGTATTCCAGCTCGACGAGTGTGTGTGTGTATATATATATATACGTATAATGCCGTTGCAAAGAAACAAGTGTTATACGTGTGTGGCGAGTACGATGTTTCCCCCTTCCACCTACCACTAATGGGCGGTCGGTAAGAAGCAGCACAATTAATGCAGGCGTTTGGAGGGTTAACTTTCCTTCTTGAGCCTGCGTTAGGCCTGCGGGGAAATTAGTGTTAGTTCTAGCCGCTACCCCCCGCTACAGTATGTCACACATCTCAAGACTCGCTGAGTTTCCTTGTGTATTAGCATCTCAACCTCTCCATCTGCACCTTCCTCTCTTCATTTTCGCCAGCCGCTAATTGTTTTTTGTCATCCCTTTCGGTCTCCGACACTCTTTCCATCTTTCTTACTCGCTCTATTTTAGTTCAGTGCATCGCCACTGTCTCGCCTTGCCCCTCGCCGCCTCTCCCTATCGCAATATTCGCCCTCCCCCTTGCTGTCCCACTTGCCCCCGTGACCTGCAGTGCACAGTGGCCGTGGGGCTGATGGTCGTTTAGTTTTTGCGAGGGCTTCGTCTGCTTGCATTTCCAGTAAAGCGTGGAGTCGCGTTTCTTAAAAAAATCCTCCCTCGTCCAGGTGATTCCGTTGGACGTGACGCCAGAGGTCCAAAGGCAGATCATGTCAGAGCTGGACATTCTTTACAAGGTGAGCCGTTCGTTCTCTCCATCTTTGCCACGGAAGTGTTAACGCTAATCCTGTGTAAGTTGTTTATATATATTTAAAAAATCTCGCACTAATTATACAGGAGTGAACATGGGTTATATCTGTCCTGTGTTTCTGTTCATTGTATTTGTTTCATCTACCCACAGTGCGATTCTTCTTACATCATAGCCTTCTACGGTGCATTTTTTGTTGAAAACAGAATATCCATCGCGACGGAATTCATGGACGGTGAGTTTCTTTCTCATCCGTCGTTGATGTGGGAAAAAAAAATACTCGGTGAACTGTTCTCGGATAACTCCTTGCTAAGCTGTTGGCGAGTGATTAAAAATGCCGTCTGTTTAAAGGGCATCCATAGGACCCGTCTTGCCGGTGAATTCTCGACGAGTCGCTCTTGGTTTGGCTTTTGCTATTTCCGAGTGTTTTCACTTGATCGGTATTCACACGCGCACAGCGAAGTGTGCTCAACATCATTGTTCATCATCGGTCATGATCATTCCACCGCTGGATGAAGGTTCTCCCCCAAGCCGCGAGCATCTCTTGCGACCCCCACGATGCCATGATGTGCTCCGGTACGGGAGCCCAAATTGCACAAAAGAACCCCTCTGCTAAATAAAAAAAAATACGGCAAATGTCCTCAAGGAGACCCCACTATGTTGTAATCATCATCATCTCACTTGCAAACTAGGTCATTTCTCTCTGTGGACTCGGGCATGGTTAAATAAAGGACACTGAATTGTATTTCTCTAGACGATTCAATCGAGCGGCCAAAAAAAGTTGACAAACCTCTTATTTAAAGCGCAGGGCCTTGCCGTACATCGAAGCTGTTGATCGTCATTGACCGTTATTGATGCTTAAACAAATACCCATACGTTGCTGTACAACATTGCTGTTGATTGGCATTGAGTATTATTGATGCCTGAACATATACCGTTCATGTCTATAGAAGAGGATTTAACGGTGAAGCATTTTTTATTTTATTTGACACTTGGCGTACAGACGCGTGTGTCCGTATATATGTACACGCACTCACTTTCTCGCATCACATTCTCATCACTTCATCTCATCACTTTATTTCTCTGTCTCTCTCTCGATGGAGCCGAGTAGATTTCCAGATGTGATTCGCGGACAGACAAAATTGCGGATAGCAAGTTCGTGGATGATGAGGGAATACTGTGTTGCGAAAGTACAGTGGGGAGCAGAAGTGAAACATTGCCCGGTCATCTCACTCGGTTAACCCCTTAACACCGCGTTGACTTCATGCCAGCAGGAGGGCCTTCGACATCTAGGCTGACACAAGCGTTCTCGTGACATCGCCATCACATCGTGAGCCTTCGCCAACTCAGAGTCCACCTAGCCTTGTACAAATGCGTCATAATTTGGTGGCGAATGGAAGCTGCTTGAGTTTCTAGTTTGTGTGTACGTGATTCGTCACACAGACGGTCCCGTTTAGCCAGTAAGCCCGGCTATTTTGCAAGGGAGATCCGTCTTGTCGTTGCGTGTGTGCACGTTGGTGTGTGCCCGGCGTGTACGTACTGGTGTGTGTGTGCGTGCTGGCGCTGACTCGTGCCCGTGTCTCGTGCAGGGGGCTCCCTGGACGTGTACGGCATGGTCCCTGAGCACGTCCTTGGCCGCATCGCAGTGGCGGTGAGTTTCTGTCTGCCCACAAATCTGTCTTAATTCGTGTCCGTGTCTCCCTTGTCTCTCTGTATTATATATATATGTTTTAATACGGGTTGTTGGGCACAGGCCCAAAGGCCCAAAAACTCCCAAGCCGACAGCAACAAACTACACTGTTATAGTTGTAAAAGATAAGAGTTAATACGTTTCTTGAATAGAGAAAGGTTACAATAGCCTGGGGAAAAGTGACGTTGCGAGGATATTCCACACCCAAGCAGTGCGAGGAAAGAAGCGGAAAGGGGGAAGCGTTGCGGCCTGCAGCGTGGTGGTTGAACACGGTGCAGATGACACGAAACATTAAGGCTGCTAGGCCGAGGCCTCAACACGGATGGAGGAATGAATGAGTGAAGTTCGTGGGAACGGTAACCACGGTCGTCGCGATAGCAGAGTGATCACAAAGCGACTGACCGCCAGTGGGCGAGCAGTTGGAGAGAATCGGGGATTCACCTCCGTGTGTATCTGTGTCCATCGTGAGTGTGTGTGTATTTCGGCATGTGTGTATGTCTCATTTCTTCACAGGCGCTCGCTAACAGCACTTGCCTCAACAGTCTGTTAAGGCTATACAGGGGATCTTTGTCTTTGTTTTGTATGTCTCATTCACACCCATTATCTCCCCGTCTGTATTTGTCTACCTCTCCTCTGTGTTTATGTGTCCTATGTGTGTGTTGGTACGTGTGTGTGGGGAGCGGTAGTGTAGCGTTTAGCACGCTGCGCTATGAACCTGGACACCGACCCCCTCGTGTGCTGTTCTGGCCTTCATAGGTGCTCGCTAACAGCACTTGCCTCTACAGTGTGTTAAGGCTATGGGGGGGGAGGTTGGGATCTTTGTCTTTGTGTGTTGGTTTGTGTTTGCTTGCTACCAACTCTTTGTGTGCCATGCTGGCCTCCATGATGCACGCTAGCAGCACTTGCTCCAACAGACTGTTTACTTCGTGTGTGTGGGGGTGGGCACACTGAGTCACAGGACTCTTTTTCAGGAGGGTCCTGCATTTGGGTTTTTATTTGAAGGTGTTTTCAGCCAATTAACGATGAGTGTTCATACAAGTGGGAGGAAACCGCAGAAAACCCACGGCGTGCAAGGGGGGAACACTCTGTCCCCGCACAGATGGAAACAGATGGCGATCAGTCCACTTGCTGTACTGCCTTCTGGCGATCCAGGAAATGGCACGTTGCGCCATGTGTTTGTGCAACTACACAGCTGCACCCCAAACCCCCGGCTTGAACACAACGCAGCGCAAGTGACGTGCATGAACGTTGAATTAATTACTTTAGCAATGTCCTGCATTGAACAGAAGCATGAATTCAGCATCATAATTCTGGAACAAATATAAAGCATCGGGTTGTATTTTTTTATTTTATACACAAATACTACGCGATCTGAGCCAAGCCCTCAAGTCAGCCCTTAACTGAGTGCTGTGGGGAATATGTAAAGCGCATGATGTGTGTCTAATCACGCGAGTGTGTGTAAAGTGTGAAATGTTCACAGGCATACATATATAAGAGCACATCAACACCTGTTGTCAATTCATACTCGACAAACGTAACGCTCTTAAAGCGGCACTATATTTCGCAAGATTTAGGTTATATTTCATCGTATTATTTTTATACACACGGGGGTGGCTGGGGGGGGGGGGGTTGGAGAAAGAGAGGTTGAGAGGACCGGCATTTATAGGCAACCAAGGTAAAACTAAAAAGTATCGCAGCTCAAGTGTGGGAGATGGGCCGCGGATCAATATCTTTAACCGACGTCATCCCGGCTGAGCCGGCCTGGCGCGACGGCCACAGTCGTGCCGGCACATACGCACGCACACCAACTTCATCGCGGCCGGGGAAAAAAAAAAAGAAAATGCGAAAGTCCACTTGGCACGAGGTTAGGCGGCTTGCCTCGCTGTCGCACAGAGAGAGACGTACAGCAGGGCTCGGGATATCCATTTGGACATTATATCGGCCAATTCCTCACGCGGCCCGGTCGATAAGTAAGTAAGAGCAGAGCGGGAGCAGTGAGCCGGCCCGACCGCCGCACCCCACTCCGGCCGCGGCCCCCCCCCCCCTCGCCCCAGTCCACTTTGTTAACGGCGGCGCCAAGGTCGCGGAGATGGGAGTTTGGGAGCGGCGTATATCACCGTGCCGAGCTTCTTCGCGCTCTCCATCAAGGTCCTTCCTCGATGAATGCGGCGCTCGTCGTCCGTTGCATTGGGGGGGGGGGGGGTGGCAGTGGAGGCGGGTGGGGGGGTTTGGGGGGGTGCCTGTCGTTGGCCAATTATGAGACGGGGGGGGGTTAGTGATGGGTTGTCGGGGGGCAGTTGGGGTGGGTGGTTGGTAAAATGGGGGCTGTCGCAAGCCGGGTAACAGGTGGTACGGAAAGCGATGGTTGGGGGAGCGCGTTGTGTTTTTCTGCACGCGCGATTGTGCGTTGGTGCCTGCGTGCGTGCGTGGCGCTATGACGCTTCTTCAGAGTTTCGTTTGAAGGTCGCAAGTTCAGATTCTAGGTCATGGAGGGGTTGCTTGAGCTTTAGCTCATCATCGCCTTGCGTTGACGGTAAAATGACTACCACCGTTCGGTCTTTTTCGACAGTCATCAGCGGGCGGTCGGTCGCCTTGTAGAAGGCAAGCCTCTCGTCATGGGAATTTGGAATTTTTCACGCAATTGGGCAGCGCTGCTCGTTGAAAAGCTTGCCACCCCTTTGCCCGTTTGAGCAGGGATGCACTTTGACCTTTTCACCCCTAACCTGTTTGTGCGCATGCGAGTTCCTCGAGTGATTCGGTGATTCTTAGAGCCGCAATGCAAATGTATGCATCTTGCTCGAGTTGAAGATCATTGCATGGGTATTGGACATACTCAAAAGTGCACATTGATTGCGTGAGCAAAGATTATTTCAATACACGTGTCCGCCTTGCATTGCCTTCAATGTGCGCTTATAAGCGCAATACAATAATAATTCATTTTATTTAAACAGGAAAGGGTCACTGAGTCTCAAAAAAATTTTTAAGGAGGGTTCTGCATTGGAATATTTGACCATATTCTGGTAATTAGTGTCTGGCTTCATGTGCGTGGAAACTGGAGGACCCAGTGAAACCTACCCACGCATGCGAGGGGATAACACTCAAATCTCTGCACGGATGGATTCAGTAATCCTTTGCCGTGTTGTATTCTCCTGGCCCCCTTGCAGCTGTGAGCGCGCGCTTATCTGTGGCTCAACGGCGCTTTTGGTGACAACCCCTTTTGCGATCGTTACAAAGATGAAAGCGGTCACTTTGGGCAGTGTTTGTAGAAAAGGTTTACTCTTTAAGTAATATTATGCGCACACTCTGGTTTGGAGTGGTGGCGCAATGGTTAGCGCACTGTGTTTTGAACCTGGTGGTGACCTGAGTTTGATTCTTGGCCACGAATCAACATTGGTGGCGAGTGATATATGATGCAGTCGGAGGGTTTCATCTTCACTCGCCTGCACAGACCAGCGTCATTAAGTCCAACAACTCCCCATGACTCACTCGGTGTGGAGATTCTTTCACCCAGTGGTGCATTTGCCAAATGAGCTGTTAACTATTATTGAGTGGATAAAATAATTACACAGCATGTAACAAATGTGGGGGGGGGGGGGGGGGGAAACAAGACAAAAATGAGATATTTTTGATTCGCAGCCCTGAACGGTGACATTTTCCTTGAACCACCATGGCACAGGATTGGACAGTGGAGGAGGAGGACGGGGAGGTTTGATGTGGGGTTGGGGAAGTGGTCAATTTCGTTTCTCCCCGTACAATTTACCAAATATCTCGACTTTTCGTGCGTGCCGGTGAAGGGCAGTGCCTTCCTTGCATGTATCTGGGCCTATACGTGCGCGCGTACGTGCGTTCGCGTGTGAGCGCACGCACGCACGCATGCCAGCGGTGGCAGTGGCGGCGATGTCGGCACTCTGAAGGTGAGCGCTGACATTGTGGGCGCGGTTGGTTCCACTCGGCCGTGCGTCCCCGGGCGGGCACTGCGACGGGGCCTGCGGGGTTTAAACCCGAGCCGTGGTGGGCCCGCCCGCCCGCCCGCCCGCCCGGGCATCACTTGAGCGGCCCCCTTATTAATAGGCTCCCGCTAACGAGCGGAGCATGACTTTATAATTCATGGCCGTAATTGTTGTGCTTAAATAAAGATGACCTGGAACACGTGTCGGCCTTTTGCTTTAGGTAACTTTACTTACCGAATAAAACAAAAAAAAAACCCCCGTGACTTTCAGCGGAAGGGGAAAAAAAAGAATGAATATATATCGCGCCGCTAATGAATCAATCTCCGCCGTTCGTTTTGCCGGTGTTGGGTTTTTTTTTGTTGGTGCGTCGATGCGAACGGAGGAACGCTCTCAAAAAACGCGAGCGCCAGTCGGGGTCAAGGGTACGGCTAAAAATGTGACGGCTGGGAGAGAGCAGCCTTCGGAGAAGGGGGCCTTCGGAGGACAGGAGTTGGGGGAGTGAGCGCCGATGCTGCCTGGGCTGTCACGATGATGAATGCCGGCGTGAAGCTACGAGTGGGTAAAAGAGACTCTTTGAAGGTGCTCGCAGTCAACTTTCTATTTCCGTCTGGAGCTTTTTTTTTTGTGGCGTAAATGCGTTCAACTCGACGCTTTTTCATCCGGGCGAGGGTTACGCTAAAAACTGAAGAGAAAAAATGTTTTGTGTGCGCTGGAGTTTGGAGGGGTTGGTTTTTAGCGTGAATCGCATCACGCCGCCGGCGGTGCAATGCGAGAGGTGCGCGCTCCGCTATTTTTATTTTCTCTCTCTCTCTCTCTCCTCTCTTTACGACCCGCACTAATGCGCCACTCGCGAAATTTCTCTTGTCAAGCCGTTTGCCGCCGTTTTTTGTTACCGAGCTGAATGCATTTTGTAACCTTGCCAGTATTTATTAGCCTTCCTGCGCGAAAAGCTGGCAATAACGACGGCGCAGTTACAATTAAGCGCGGGCAGCCCTGCCACCGCGATACAAC